GAGAAAGGTAGTTAAACTCTCTTCTGTCGAAACCCTACCCCAGCCGACACTCAAGACAAAGAGATAAGAGAGCGACCAGAAGGAGACACAACCGCTGGAGGAACATCAACGCCACCGTGCCAAAATGCCGAAAACACTTTGGTAGGCCAAAAATTCTTCTCGTTCTTTCCGTTTCTCCGCCATTAGCCGTCTAACGTGTTTCGATGCAAGATAACCAAGAACAACCATAAACTGCAAGGAAGGAACAACGGAGCTCGGCTGAGCTGTTGCACTAGAGGACCGAAACCGCCGATAAACATCCATATTTCTCCTTCCGTTGTCGAGAAGCACCCCCTAACCATGATTTAAATAGATTTCCATCAAGGACTGACTAAAACCGATCTGACCAAGAGGAGGAGCCGCTGAAGAAGGCAGACCAGGCGGCAGAGCATGACGGCATCGCCAAAGAAGGCAGACTAGGCAGCGGAGCATGGAGGCATCATCAAAGAAGGCAGATTAAGCGACAGAGCACGGCGGCACTGCAGCACGGAAACCCTAACCCAACCCCCCAATGAGATTTTTGCCTCTTTTTGCCGTTTCTTACATATTTTTATGTCATTTTAACATATGTTCAATTTTATCAGAAAACCTCAAAAAATCTGGGATCCGAAAATCATCAAGAACCGTATTGAAAAAAAAGCAATATTCTAGATACCGACTCAGGGTAAAAATTCCTCACCCTTTTTTCTTGTTACGGTGAAATTAAAGCTAAATTAATAATAAATGAAAATTTTTGAATAATTGACGATTCCTTAATTAATTAAGTACAAGATGTCGATAGAGCCAGTAATCGGTCAGTGCATGTCTACTTAATTGTGTTGTTTATTTATTTGATCGCTTTATTGTGTTTGTTTATTTATTTTGTTCTATTTTAACCTACTTCAATTTATTTGCCTTAATATATATTTCTCGTTGTCTTATTTTGTGAATAATACGTTTCAGTCAGCATGATGTATATTTATTTAGTGCATCAACGTACTCTGAAATATGATTTCTTTATTCTTGTCTTGCTTGAGGATGTGGGCATACATGCCATTTGGAGTTAAATAGTAAATGAAAGAAATCATATGTATGAACTAATGTATTTGGATGAAAAGGGCTTATTAGGTGTCATGGGTAAGAGTGCACGGACTTGGTGCATATGGTGAACCCTACTGCAGACGTTACCCTCAGCTGTACGGAGCTGGGAAGTTCCATACCGGAAGGAGTTGAGACTTTATAAGTGTTGCTCATACCAGATGAGATATTGAAGTGGTTGTTTGTTGTGGTGCCCATTACCGGAAGAAGCATGGGGACGACTGTTTAATTACAAAGGAAATATTCGTATCCACGTGTAGTGAGGATCTCTATGGACCCCCAACGACACCGGTAGGAAAAGGTAAAATGATAATGTAGAGATGAATATGGTAAGAAATTCGGCTTGGGAAATGTGAGGAGTCAAACATTGTATGTCCATTGAAATGTATACTTTAGATTGTGATTTTGATTTTTATTTTAATGAATGGTATTTGAGAAATTACAGGTTAGTCGAGAAAATACTAACGTTTTCAGTGAAACGAATTATGAATGCAGTAGTATTCAGGTTTTGTTAAGAATGAGTTTTATTTGTTGTTTATATTTTTTACAACCCTTTGATTTTCTGTATCAATAATAAGACGTTGATATTTTATTGAATTAGTGTAGTTCACCCCTATTTTATTAATTATTTCAGATCAGAACGATCAAAATCCGGATTCTGAACAGTAAGAGATCAGTTAAAAAATTATCTCTTCCGCTTTGTCAGTTTTAAGTAGAGGTTAACTATGTTTGTTTTCTTTTTATGTTTTTCTCGTTTAAGTTTCAAAAGCATTATCACAGTTCTATTGGATATTTTAAGTAACGTGTAAAGAATGTAGCATAAGAAAATAAATTGCTTCCGCTAAATAATAAATTTCAGTATTGTTTATCTTACTATTATTGAGTTATACACTCTAAATTCCAAGTATGAATTTGGGCTTTTATATAAATTCACATTTTAACTATAGGTCAAATTCATATAAAGAGCTTTTATTTTCTTTGTGTCCCTTTAGGAAGTCGAGCAAAAAATAGCCTTTATTTTTTATTTTTTTTAATGACTGTTATCTTTCTAAACAGAATGAAAAGATAGTTTTAAACTAAACTACATTTTCTTCTTCATAGCTTAACCATATTAAAGTAGTTCAATAGGATCTATGGGTGATATACATAGAGATCGGTAAAGTAAAGCCCATTAGGGATCACCTATGCTATCGTTAATAAGAAATATTTAGAGTGTTGCTAAGGTAGCTCACCGGGCTCTTCAATGGAAATCCCAATATGTTACATTTTTGAAAACATCAAGTAGATGAAAACGCGATCTCATGTTTGATATTTTTTCTCTTACCTTTTTATTTAACTATCATCTGTTATGCAATAGAAGTTGAAGAAAAACCTATAGCTTTAATTTGTTGTACGACTTCCCACATTTGTTACAATGATTTGAAGGAAAATAGGTTTTTAATGATGATTATGAAAGTAAAGTTTGATGCTTTCAGACAACTCAAGTTTTTTTAAATGAATTACTAACTCATAAAGTATTGCATTTGTTATAATTTGGTTCTTAATTTTTTTGTTATAATTGATCTTCAACATATTTTATTTATTTTAAAAACTCAATTTTTTTTTATTTCTTAATGAAAAAATGTCATATTTAAATGATTTAAAAATATTTAAAAAATAAACATGATAAGTTAATTAAATTAATAAATTAATAATATTATTAAATATAATTTTTTGTTATTTATTTATTAATTTAATTAATTAATTGAAGTCATTTTTTGAACAATTTTTTAAAGTATTCAAAAATTACTTAACAATTTTAAACTCTTTCCTTCATGGAATTAAAGGAAATTGTACATATATTATCATTTTAGATCATTGCATATAATGGTTATCGATTTTTGATGTGATTTTTCTCTTTAATCACTCTTATTTAACATACATGCTTGAATGAGTAAGAATTTTTTTTTTTCTTTTCTCCACTCTCTTCTTGTATGTATTATCTTTCTACTTTGATGAGCTTATATATAGGTAGCTTTTGTTTTTCCTTCGAGTCAATAAGAAAATTAGTAGACTGAGAGAGAAAAATCGGCGATTCTTTTTTTTTTCTCTTCCAAATATTTGAGAGAGATTACTTACTCTTCCTTAATATATAATTTAATTAATATCCCAATTTTTCTTGATACACATACTTTCAATTTGAATAGGATGAGATGTATTGAATTTTTTTTCCTAAAAAAGTAGACTGTAGAGACCCGAAACCTTAAAGGAAATGGATTTATAATTTTTAATGCGAAAGTGAACAATAGAGTTAAAGTTTATATTTTTTACACAGTAAATTAAAATGTCCAATAAAATTACGAAAATATTCATTCTACATTATTTTATAAAAAAAATAAATGATAATTAAAATAAATAAATCGATATCCTAGGGGTTAACCTTCATTAGTACTTGAAGGGGGTCCGGAGGTGAACTACTCACAACCTTCTTGTTGAT